CTATTTTACTACAAGAAAAATACATCCTTGAATGGTCTGTTCAAAACATCTCAAGATAAATGAGTTAACAAGGGCACTACAAAGCAGGGCATCCCCTGGCAAAGATCATATGTGTAAATCAAGGCAGCAGTTGACATCAATCCGATGCAAATCACGTCACTTCCACTTCGCACAGGACATAACTCATAAACAAACACATAAACAAGATTGCATGTGTCCCCCGTAACTCTAGACCTGTTGTGAGGGAAAAAAGCAATTACACAGACAGGTATCAAATTCTCAGAAAGTCTAAAATGACATACCTTAACATGTCTTGTGTTACATTGTCAACCCTGTCCTTGTTAAAGTCTGGATCACCTAACTGATGCTGCTGTGCACAGGCAAATTTTAAAGCCTATCAACAAAAATTTAAATACTCATCAAAAATTTTTCAAATGCTTTTTTAAAAATATATAATTCATTAAGAATTCCAAAATACATGCATGTAACATGCTTAGGGTCACTTGTAAGTTTTCTATAAAAATAATTTACCTCTATCATCCTATGTACCGTCTCAGGATTGTTCCGTACCAAGGGATAATCCTCTAACATGTTGAGGGCCGACAAGACGGAGAGTCCAGCACCAGGAGCAGGAATTGTCATCACGGTATTCTCTATACAACAACAAAAATGTTTGTAATCGACCATCTTACCGTCAAGAGAACCTAATTTTCTTTTCTTTTCTTTTTTCTCTTTGAAATGTAATAGTGATTAACCCAGTTTATCAAATTTAGACATTCATACTGTCCTTGGTTAAGAAGCAAGGTCTTGTTTAAGGGCACAGAAGAGCTCAAAATTCCCATTAAAATATCCTTTCAGTTCTAAAATCTGACATAATTTTGAATCAATGCACAATAAATGCCCCTACCATGGTAAGTTGTCTGGACCTTGTCCCTGTGCTTCACTTGGTATTTCTTTAGATCCACCTCTGTCATCCACTCACGGATCCCTGATGTACCGGAGGGGGTCAGCTACAATAGAAGGGGGGTAAAGGTTCATCAGTAAGGTCATAAAGAGGTCAAAACATAAACTAAAACCAAGTCAAACATCTTTCTTTTATTTCACAAACAGTCCCTCACTTGATCATGTACAACAATTAATGACTTGAAGCAAACAATTGAAATTGACAAGGTAGATTTATAAATAATATTCAAATGAAGATTAAGCACTTGAACTTACCAGATAGGATCATATACATGTATTACAAGAGAAAGATATTTGAGTGTTAATGAACACTCACAGCATCAATGATTTCTTTGGTGTATTTCCCATAGTATATGGCAGAGGAACCTTTGTCTGAAATCTCCTGTAAAATTTCTGCTAAATCAGGCCGTCTGATCTTTGTCCCCAGAGTCACAAAGCGGCCATCTTTGACATAGTATTTCTGGAGATTTGGACTTAAGTCATTTGCTGTCAGTTTTCCACTTTTAAACATTTCATCTGTTAAAAAATAGTTGTTAAAAATCCAAAATGCTAGTCACAAAATAATAAAACTGAATAAATAGAAAAATTTGCCTGATGACTAAATCATGTAAAATACTGCAGATACTCTGTTAAAAAAGAAGCATTGCTCTATACAATTTGAAAATGACTCACCCATAGACTTAGTAACTTTGAATCCTTCTTTAGCCAGAGAAGTAACAGGGTCTACTAAGGAGCTCCAAGCAAGCCTGATAAAATATAAAATCATTCTTCAGTATGCAGATACACAGTGATCATATAATGACTTCAAATGCTTACTTTGCTCATTAGGAGTTTTCACACTCAAAATGCTCCAATTAATTCAACAAGAAACATGTCCTAGTCATTGAGGGATAAGCATTTGGAATATTAACATCTTTTTTTGACTTACTTTCCATATTTCTTGTGAGTAGATTCTAGTCCTTTCAATTCTCCTGGAACACCAACAGAAAATATGCCCTACAATTCCATGCAAAAAAGTTTCAGCGCTTAAAAATAAATATGAAGTTCGACATGGTTTTGATAGGGTTAAATTGTCGCATATAAAACAAGTCTAAACCAGTTAAATAGTATCATGCCCTTTCAATCAAAGTTCTGTCTCCTTTGAAGAGGTCTGTCCTGGCAACAGATGGCGCTGTTTCTCTAAAATCGATGACATCACTCCACTTTGTTTTGTGGTCATATACCATTATGAACCCACCCCTGTAGATATAACAGCAATGAAAATACAAACTGAATGAAAGGGGATTCGGAATAACTTTACTGTAAACAGATATTCATTTTGCTTTACAACTATTTAAGGCTTCATATCATGGAATATGATAATGGCACAAAATTTTTCAATCAAACAATCTGCCAGTCTTTTGTTAGTAAACATTTACAGATATGCTTGTTTCTTTCTTAAATATAAGAAGTACTTACCCTCCAATGCCCGATTTATGAGGGTTGACAACTCCTGCACATAGAAGTGTTGTAACTGTGGCATCGACTGCATTACCTCCCCTCTCTAGGACGGCAAGGCCAAGGTCAGAACAAATACCAACATCAGACGCTACAGCTCCCGAAGCTCCCACCTAGATAACACATCATAACAAGTTTTAATCTGTTGGAAGAAAAATCCCAAAAAGCCACTTTTGTGTTAAAATATAATCCCTTACATGTACATACCTGAGGTTTTCCTAAATAAATATATAGCACCAATGCAATGGTTATCGATACAGCCAAGACTACAGATGATGCAATGATGATCTTTAATCCACGAGAATGGGCTCTATGAGGAAAAGTAAGAATAGTAGATCAATCATATTATAATTACTAATTATTTTCACATATTCTCTCCATATTTAAGTAAAAAAAAAGCACAGATATTAAATCTTTTAATTGATGAGAACTTTACTCTTACAACTTGTGAAATAACATAAAAATAAATTTTCAATGATAAACTGTTTAACATTTTTCAAAGTGTATGAAAGAGATCTCGGTAACATTAAATGACTTTTATAAAATGCTTCAATCAAGTATCCAGTCTTTGTCTACTCAAAAAGTAATTAAATCCCTACAAATCTTTCCCTGAGGTGACTTTCTTGTCTCGGTGTAGAGGCGAGGTTTCTCCCTTCTTCAGACCATCACTCAGTACGTGTCCCCCTTTACCCAGTACAGTTTTGTCTTTTGCTATCAATTTTGTAATATCAGCTGGAAAAAAATAACACAATTTAATGAGATTAAAAGAAAATTTTCAAAGTCAAAATTAAATTGAATCAAAAATGTTTCATATAATATAAAATAAAACAAGAAAGAACACCAATCATCCTTTTAGAAACATTATGGAATATGATGGCTACAAATTTTAATGCTTTATTTATTTAGAAATTTCTGTCTTTTCCATGTTTACATACCGTATAAGCAGAATTTTTAGCGAGGATTTAATTTTGGCATTATTAGCAAGGGTACTGAGATCACTAAATTTAAATATCGCTAAAAATTAACTGTTTTATTTGTAATAGTTTATTTAGTGAGCACTTTAAAATCGCTTTAATTACTTCTCGCTATAAATAAAATACCAGTTTTTATGGACAAATTGCTTAATTTGTGTCTCGCTAAAATTTCCACTTACACAGTATCAGACGTATGTACATAAAACGCTACAAGACATTAACCTAATCACTCATCTCTAAATCTATCTCAAATACAGCATCTAAAACATTATTGTGCATCTACCACTGTAGGTTCTTTATTTTTCTCGAGTACTTATTATCAGGAAATGCCCCTTAATAAAACATCACCATCATCATTTCATACATTTCTACAAAGCATTCAGATTCTCTATAGGTCAATCAATTTACCTGTGATTAGAAAAGACAGAATAAATTCAATTTGATATAAAGCAAGTCATTTAAATTACCTGTTTAAAATTTGCATCAAATACTTGACAATTTGTAAAATCTGTATTGCTCTTAAATTTTAAAAGAGTAGACAAATCAAATTATTCAACCTAATACACCTTTGACAACTCACTTCATTATCATCAAACGCTAAAACCACATGACCTCATTACAATACATTTGCACTCTTTTTTTACCACCCCTTTAAGCCCTAGTTTCATAGTAGCACAGGGGAATATGATAATTTAAAGGTGGTAAAAATGAAGACAGACTGAAACTCTAATAAGTCCCTGTGCTAAAATCAAGGGGTTTATTCCAAAGGTTTACAACATATTGGATTGCAAAAATCTAATACAAACACAAGTAGGAATCCCATCTTCAGGCATCTTGTTTTATTATTAATCAGAATTCTTGATGCATGTAAAAACTGAACCATGTTAACCATGACAAAATAAATTGCTTCGATATTGCTTTCTAACCCTCATTAGTGTTGATTTGTTCTTGTCGATCGTCTTCCATCCTTCCACTACTCTGGCTTTACATTAAGGCAGCAGACAAGCACGCCCTTTTAACTATAGATGGTATACCGTCGACAAACAGGTTCACAATTTTTATTTTTCTGTGATCATCATCATATTTGCCCAACTTCCGGTGATCATTACAAGCAGGAATTTAAGAAGTAGTACGAGAAAGTATTCGTGCAAGGTGGCGATAAAAAGAAACAATAAAAAATTAAAGATTAAAAGCAGGTTAATCGGTATAAAATGATTTATAAATTATGGTATTGCAAATGTATATTTTTTTTAACTAAGAAGTGTCAATTTAGAATTTCTTTTTAAAATAAGATCGATGATTTAGCAGTGATATGTGAAAAGATATTTAACGATTGTAAAAATGTAGATATTTATTTATTATGTATTTTGTATCTGTTGCCCTTTTAATATAAAAAAATATTTCGCGGACGACTTAGATTTATTAATTTTGATAAATCTGTTACCATTTTCTCTTAAACACTAAAGTACAATTACTGAAATTAAATAATTGTTTGGCCACGGATAAAAAAAATCATTTAAGATATTTTGTGAAAAGATCCACTGGGGATAAGAAGCATGGTCCGCACACCAACCACCTTCCTAAGATCCGCCAGTGGTTTTGTTGGCCTGTTAATTGACCCAACATGCAGCTAGATAAAGTCTATATATTGATGTAACAGACTAGAGACATTTTTTTTCTGTTAAAGGATTGAACCCCAGCCTTTGGCTTGCAAGTCTATAGTACTCTACCGACTGAGCTAAAGGGTTAACCCACTAGTCCAAGTTAGTAGCGAGGACTAGAATTGCGCCCCCCCCCCCCAAGAGAATGAGATGTCCTCATCTCTTTCAGAGTGCAGATGCCAGTGGGGCGAAGTTCTGGGGGCAATCACTCTCACCCGCCAGATAACACCTGGGTCCCAATGTGGGCGCTAAATGTAACAAAGACATAATTTATTGCCTCCGCTGGAGATTGAACCCGGGGTCTCTGGCTTGCCAGTTCAGTGCTCTTCCGATTGAGCTAAAGAATTAACCCAATAGCTCAAGCTATAGTAGGAAGCTGTATATCTGACACTACCATATAGACATTACCTTTCTGGGCTCGATATGGAAATCTGACTTGCACACCATCAGTTTCAACTGACCACATAGATGGGACTTTTTTCTTCATTTGTGGCGTCTTCAATGAATCATCTCGCCTAATCTAGAAAAACGGCACATAAAGTTGTACATACATGTAGTTGTAAGCACAGGCACTTGGGGTATGGACCCTAACCTCCCTTTTCCATTTTTTTTTTAAATCTGGGGTCGATTCATCTTTTCCTATTTTCCTATTCTAATATGCATATGTTATCAACAGTGTAACTCATTTGACTCTACAAGCTGTTTTAAAAATTTGTTAAGATCTTAAAATACTTTATCGATATAGTTATAGTTTGTTCATCTCCAAGTTAGGTATGGTAATTCAATTCCTATTCACATACATGTATTTGAAACTTTCATTTATTTTCGGATGCTGACTTAAAACAAAATGTGTCATTGCCTTGGAAGGGTGGTGGTCAACATTTGCATAAAAATCAGTTAAAAAAAAACGAGTTTCAACGGAGACTATTGTTTGACACTACCTCTCCACCTCTACCCTTACACACACTTTAACTCGTCAATTCTCCATGATATAAATAGCTACTGTCGCCATGATACATCTTTGCCCCCCCCCCCCCCTTGTCCTCATTACTGTACATCTTTATGAACTCGTCCATACATAGTGCATGCTTAATAGTGCATGCTTAACTTCTATGTATAATGTTAACCCCCCCCCCCTCCCTCAAATGCAAAGCTCATAGATCTAGCTCAATAATATTAATTAAAACTAATTTATAATTTATACTCCTAATCCTGTACTTACCTGTCAATTTTCGTTTAACAATTTTCGAATGTTTTACTTTATTGATCAGAACCGCAAAGCATAGCAGAAAATGTGTATTTTTATAGTATAAATAATTGAATATTAAAATGACAGAATGTAACAGCTGCATTTAAAATATTCCATTAGTAAACGGTTAAACATCTATAAGTATAAGGCAAAATGAGACATCTCTTTATTGTAATTCACAAACTTATTCAAGGTAATTTGGGACATCCTTGCATTGTGCAGAATATACGTCTGTTCAAAGTCTTTTCATATGATAGGTATTTCTTATATTTAATGGGTCCAATGGTGCAAACATTTGTAACAATTCGGTTGTATAGATGTAAATATTGACGATCATTCCCCATTTCCATTGTATTACGTTTTTGAAACAAAGATTTTCTGCTTTATTTGTGCACGTATATATATACATATTTCTGTTGGAAATAAAGAAATGGGACTGATATGACCCTAATAAGTTCCCGTAGATAAATAACGATACCCAAGATAATAACCGTTTTAAACATTGCATATAATATATATACATTTATATATAGATATTGATGACTAAAATTAATACTCTCCCATAATATTAATACATGTTCATTTTCTAATAAATGATGACTTAAGAAATCGATTAGATCTAGGGTAATTTAAACCAAAAATAGATCTAGCAAACTAGAGTAGTAGAGTACTAATAGCTATTTTTAGATTTAAAGCTCCCTTTACATATAAGGTATAAAGGGAGGAGGCAATCTCCTTGTTTGGAAGTGAACGACTCTGATGAATAATTTTAGCCAATTCTGGAAATGTTCTCAGAGTTGTCACAATCCGTTCAGGTATATAAGGGGTATACTCTGGAAGGATTGAAATCAAACTGCAAAACTGAAATCTCAACAAGACAAAGTGATTTTAAGAAGGTAAGTTTTCTAATTTTGTGATTTTCTTTCATTTTTGTGTTGTTCATTGATTAAAGACTTGCTTTACTATCTAAATCATTATTTTCTTTAAAAGTTGATTTATGCACGGTCCGAAAGATCTCTCTATTTATTTTTATTTTTCAAAAAAAAAAATTAATATCTGAGATAAACTTTAAATCAAAGTTGATTTATTCATATTATGAATATTATTTCAGAAATCTTAATTTCAAAAACCAAACGAAAGCATTAAAGATGCCTATCAACATAATGGAAGACGATACTGCCCCCGTTGTTATTGACAACGGTTCAGGGATGTGCAAGGCGGGCTTTGCTGGGGATGACGCCCCGAGGGCCGTTTTTCCCGCCATCACAGGAAGACCCAGATATGATGTAAGTATTTTAAAATATCAATCTATGATATCATAAAATAAAAAATAATTTATCAAGTGATTCGTTAAAACTAGGAGAAAAAAATAATAAATACAATTAAGAAATTGTAAATTGTAATTTAATATGTTCACAGATTGTAATGGCGGGAATGGGAGGTAAAGATTGCTACATTGGAGACGAAGCCCAGAACCACAGAGGTGTGTTGTCTCTGAATTATCCCGTGGAGCACGGAATCGTCACCAACTGGGACGACATGGAAAAGATCTGGCACCACACCTTCTACAACGAGCTGCGGGTGGCACCCGAGGACCACCCGGTGATACTAACGGAAGCGCCACTCAACCCCAAAATCAACCGCGAGAGAATGACCCAAGTAACAATCTCTCTTTCTCTCTCTCTCTTAAATATGTTAGATTGCTATGTTTACAGTTTACGTAAAGATGTTCGTTCAATTTATTGTAATTTGCTTCCGAGGTCAAAACTTGTAAAAATATAGACCGGAAAATTCATTTCTTTTTTTATAGATCATGTTTGAGACATTCAATGTCCCAGGGTTTTACGTCAGCATCCAAGCAGTCCTTTCTCTGTATGGCTCTGGAAAAACTACCGGGATCGTGTTCGATTCGGGAGATGGAGTTTCCCATATTGTTCCAATATACGAAGGTAAGGTTTTACATTATACTTTGAAAATTGATTGCAAAAATGCCTAAAAATATTTTTCCTTTAATAATATTCCCCAGAAGATCTAATCACACATAATTTTTTGTATTTTCAACTTTACAGGCTACGCTCTTCCCCATGCCATTAAGCGAGTTGATTTGGCAGGTAGAGATTTGACCAAATATTTACAAAGAATACTTCATGAACGTGGATACAACTTCGTTAACTCAGGTGAGATTTCAGTTCATTGTTACAAGTCTTTCTTTTTAAAAATCATATTCTTCAAATCTTACATATTCGTTTATTTAAGTACTAAAATTTTGAAACCAGTTTTCAATTCCATTTCAGCTGAACAGGAAATCGTTCGTGACATCAAAGAGAATCTGTGTTATGTGGCTCTGGATTTTGAACACGAGCTCTTTGCCTCAGCACGATCATCCGCCCTAGAAAAATCGTACGAACTTCCGGACGGACAAGTTATCACCATTGGAAACGAACGCTTCCGAGGTCCGGAAGTATTATTCCAACCAGCATTTTCAGGTGAGCTTTATGTTCTCAGAGAAATCCTTTGAAAAAATTATTCGAGTTTTTTGCATCTAAGAAAGTTTCACTTTTTAAACAATAATTCAAAGTAATATACATTGTAATCATTTATACTTTGATATTTATCTTCAAAGGTCGAGAGTGTGGTGGTATTCATGAACAAATCCACAACTCTATAATGGGATGTGACATCGACATCCGGAGAGACATGTACAGTAATATTGTTCTTTCCGGGGGATCCACCATGTTCTCGGGTTTAAAAGACAGACTGACTAAGGAGCTAACAGCTATCTCACCAAGTTCAGCTAAAGTTAAGATCAACGCCGCACCTGAACGGAAGTACTCGGTTTGGATAGGCGGATCAATCCTGGGTTCTCTCTCCACCTTCCAACAAATGTGGATCACTAAACAGGAGTACGATGAATGCGGGCCCGGAATCGTTCACCGGAAGTGCTTTTGATTTTACTATTTCTTTATGAACATTTTAATGATGGATTGCTGATATTATGTAACCGGGCAGTATGGCCAATTTTCTACCTCATAATTTAAACAGACGGAGATAATTGTCCTCGAAAACAATACTGATGTTTTGCATCCAAATGTAGCCATGACTTGTCATTTCATTGACTTGAAAACTATCATTTTGATAATTTGACAATTCCAACAGAACTGTTGGAGATAGCATTTTCAAGTGCTTGTGGTGAGTGTGCGTCTCTTCCAATTTTAATATTTGGCATTTTGAAGAATTTCACTTATACATGTACATCGGATGTTTGAATATAAATGAATGAATGAGGACATGCGCGAATTGTGCGATTTATTTTCACCCATTCTCAATGTAAGGGCACAAATGCCTCTCTGATTTTTTAAAAAATGAAGTTCAAGAAAATAATTTTTCTATCAATTATTTTTGAAAGAAAGTATCTGAAGATTTTGTTTCCAGATTTTTTTTCATCAAATTATAATACATGGAATAATGACAAGACGATAAAGCAGAGGGTGATTTTATTCAGAAATGTAGCTTGAAATGTACGTTACTCTTTCTTCAATGTCCAAAAAGATATGTAAAAAAAAATGTAGTCATTAAAATCACAATTGGAATAGCTCATCTTAACACCAGCACATCCTACCAACTCTGTCAGCAACATATTTTCTCGGCATACGAACGTGCGTTTGATTTTTCCTTTCCAAAAACAATGGTTACTTTTTGATCCAGATGTATAAAAACATTTTTTAAATATATGCTTTAAATTCTTCTCTCTGTTTTGTTTAGAGCGATCGGTTTGGAATCTTGTCATTTTCTATAGATACTGGAACCTAACATGTACATGTAGTAAAATTCTATTTTGTAGTTACTGTCTTTTTTAACATATATCCATGCCGATTTAGAAAACTACTTAAATGTAACGTACATTTCAAGATATATTTCTGTTTAATAAAAAGCTTAAAATTCATCTAAAAATTCATCGTTTTGTTTCAGTTTATTAAAAAAAAGATTCTCTATGTAATCACATTGTGTTACATGTCGCAATCACCACTATAAAGACACGATTGCCTCAGAATATGAGTAGGTAACGTACATTTCAAGCTTGTAATAATATGTAAATTAGTAATAAGAAAATTTTGAAAAAAAAAACAATTATTGACATAAAAATCATTTCAATGAAGCGTTTTAAGGCAGTAATATAAGAAATCATAATGTAACAAACGATGTTATTTGTCATCAACTACATGAATGTCACGTCACTTCGATAACGTTCATTTCACATATTATTGGAGATTCCCCTCCACCTCAGTTCATTACCATTCTTTTGTGCTGTTTCGCTGAAATTGACACCGGTCGTAGCCTAGTTACTTCTACCTGTGTGCAAGGGTACAGACAAAAAAAGTCAGACGTATTTTGCTATAATCTAACAAATGCTCGTGTTTGGCCATTGAAACTTAACATAAATCTATTCCGAATATATCCATCGACAGTTTGTTAACAATTTCATTTATTATGTTGCAACATCGTTTTTCAAAACACAAACATACGTGCTTTTCAGCAGATCGGGAAAAATATAACCCAAAATGCAATGATTCAAACAAAACTGAGTATTGTGTGTCTTTCAGTATTTGAAATATACGTGACCGTCTTGTGTTTCCTTTTTTTCTATTTTTTGTTTCTTTTTTTTTTACCAATTATAAGCCTATGCATACCTTGTTTTAAATTATCAACAACATTTAAATTAATATTGACGAAATGTCGCATATTAAAAGTAAACAAACTGCAAAAAGGTTGCCAAAGATGAATTTAAGACACTTAGAAATAAATTTTCTAGCATGTGGTAACAGTCTAAAACATTTACGAGGATTAGGGGTGCATTTAGATGGATTTATGTGGCCAGTTGTCAAATGGATTGTAACGATAATTTTGTTTCGCTCGTATAACGCAATTCATTGACTAAATTTAAAAAAATGTCAGTTAGAAATACGTAAAATGTACGTTACCATACGTAACGTACATTTCAAATATAAAAATCAATTCTCTTCCACAAGCGTACGTTAGACACGCAATATATTGATACTATTTGAACTTGCATATCATAAGAAATACATCATACAGGTCTCGTATTCAGAAATATATACCAGGTATCAAAATTATATTACATATAATTGACCTTAATATATTTTTTTTCCTCAGCAGAAACGTTTCTTTTCATTAATTTTGGGATTTAGCCGACCTCCAATCTTTAAAACTTTCCTTTGTGTACACATTCGAGTGTGTGAAAGTATGAGAATACATGAAAATTCGTGCGAGATTCACTTAATTCGAATTTCATGGTAACGTACATTTCAGTCACGTACATTTCAAATGATCACTTTTCATGTAAAAAATAATTATGTTCCCCAAACGAAGTTGGGGAACATATTGTTTTTACTCTGTTTCTTATTATTATTATTTTTCTTCTTGGGAAAATTTTGTCCGCGAATGATCTTGTAAAGTACACATCCGATTAAGGGGAAACCTTTTTAGGATAAGTAGGCATGTTATGTAGATTTGCGGAACGAGGGTCATTTTGCACGCACGTGCTTGCAAGAGCGCGCACGTGCAACACGTGAAATGACCAGTATACTTGAAATTGCCGTAACTTTTACATTTTTTGATGTCATGCTTTGATATTTAGAATATGTAGACATATTATAAATGTAGATGAGATGACATTGTCAACATGCCAATTTGCGCGCACGTGCTTGCAAGAGCGAGCACGTGCAACACGTGAAATGACCAATATAATGGATATAGCCGTAACTTTTCTATTTTTTGATGAAAACTTTTGAAATTTATATTGTAAGGATATATTAGTAGTGTAGACAAGATGACATGATCTAAAAAGCAAGATCTCACGCGCATGCACGTGCGCTTCGCTCTGATTGGCTGAAACTAAAGTCTCAATATCTTTCTTGTTTTTTGACGAAATCCTTTGAAATTTTGAACATTGCCATGCATTAGGATGTCCTACAACATGATATATAGAAATTATCATGAAAACACGTGCATGCACGTGCGCTGCAATCAGATTGGCTGAAACTTTAAATAGCTATAACTCCCTTGGTTCTCAACCAAACAGGATGGGATTTGGAACAGAGATATATAAAATGACCTTCTACAAGAAGGTATGGTCACCATGCACATGCATACTCGTGCGTGTACGTGAGCTGCAATCTGATTGGCTGAAACTTTTAACAGTTATAACTCCCTTGGTTTTCAACCAAACAAGATGGGATTTGGAACATAGATATATATATATAATGGACTTCTACAAGAAGGTATGGTCACAATGCTCATGTATGCACGTGCGTGCACGCGAAATGGGGAAAATCAAAAATACACTTGAATGGGCGAATTTTTTTAATACTCTTGGATTAAATATTTTAATATTTAGTATATTAAAATATATAGATTGTGTAGACAAGATGATATGGTCATTACGTACATGCATTCACATGCGCACACATGCAATGCTAAAATTTGAATGAGCATGGTACATTTCTGGATAAACGTTGTTAAAGTCTCAAATCCATAGAGTTTGTGTTATTTAATGAAGCTTACAGGGAATATGGCACCGAAAGGGAGTTGGGGAGCGTTTGGGGAACATCTGTAACGGTCCCCGTTACAATTAGCACTAGTTTTAATTGTGTTAAGCAAAACGTCTTTGCCATTTTACAGGATAATATTAGTTATCCAGGTTCAATCAAGGGTGTACGGGGATTTACCCCGGGTTTTATTCCATACACCCTGAGGCCGAAGGCCGAAGGGTGTATGGAATACAACCCGGGGTAAATCCCCGTACACCCTTGATTGGACCTGGATAACGAATTTATTTCCTCTGTGATCATAAAAATACTTTGTAAACATCTAGCGTTTGACTCAATCTGTTATTTGGTTTTTACTATAGAGAATGGCTCAAGTCGGGTGCACGGATATTTACACCCGACTTTGTAACCAATCAAAGCTCGTGTTACAAGCTAGATAGGAAATAAAAGGGGTTGCTTATTCAGAGTAGTCTCATATTTTCTACTTAATATATATTCTTAATGGAAGAATATAGGTAACGTACATTTCTTTCTTATCTCTACGATTGAAAATGTCTTTCATTCCGTAAACATATTTATAAAAGTTGCTCATATTGTTCAATTTCATGTTACATTTTCTAAGTAGGAGTAATTAATCTATTGAAATTTCAAATTTAGCCCATCAATAAATTAAGGAGAACAAAACTATCAGGTGTAAAATCTTTGTGTTTGCTTGTAATGTGGTTGAAATAGAATTAAGCGACAGGGACATTGCACAATAAAAATTATATATTATCACAAAGAAAACGTATTTATTGTTATGAAAAGAAATATATATGATACAAGGTTTAACTTATCAGAAAATTTTTACTTAAGAATCAAAACTATATATTACACAGAGGGGATTCAGAATAATATTTGCCTCGGCGACAGTAACGTACATTTCAAATAGGCTACTATATTTGAATTTGGAACTCCTTAAATACCCTTTCAGATTGATAATTATATGAATTCTTATTCATTGTTATATGACTATTTATAATGTTGATTTAGAAATTACATCAGTGGTATTTCTTTTAAATGAAAATGAGGCGACATTATTTGAGCCCTTATATTGAGAATGGGTGTTTACACGTGTATTATGTTTCATTTATGTTCAAATGATTTGTATACATATTTTATTTATTGTTATTTATCTATTTATTTATTCATTGACAGCTGCTTTTTCAATAAAAATGGAACTCATTAATTTACTTACATTGTCATTGGTCATTTGCAAAATTATTTTGTTTAAAAACATTATGATTTTACACATAAGTTCTTTGAAGTTGACATCAAAAAGATGTTTGAGTTTTCTGACAACATCTATGTCGTATTGGGGGACCAGGTCTTCCAATGCGCCCTGTTATTAGCAGACCTATTTTTTATTTATATGAAGCAGAATTTGTGCAAAATCTTATGCGTAAAAAGAAGAAAACAATATGCTGTGGCCTTCAACTCGATATTTAGATATATTGACGACGTATTGTCAATTAAGGTAATTTCCATTCTTATGTCGATACAATATGTGCTCTACGTATGAACAATTTCTAAAACGAGGTAAATTATTGCTAAATAAGTTGATGAAACAAGAATTTCTCGATTGAAGTAATCATTTCGTCAGAGTCCATTATCTATACACTGAATTGACAATGGATTTTTCCGCAATTTCCTGATCACGACACGGATCGAGC